ATATATATATATATATATATTTATTATTGCAGGAACCACTTGGAATGAATGAGCCTCCACATTTGGTATGTTGACAATATATAACAGTCTCTAGTACTGAACTGTATTTAATAATTAAATACAGGTAATCTTGAATGTCTTACTTTGTTACTTCAAATGATATCTTAGTGTTACTGTCTTCATGCAGCAGACCGTTGATGGAGGAAACTGGTAGATGTATAACGGTTAAGTTTGCTAATGTTCTGCTGTTTGCTTTATTCCAAATCATACCCTTTAGTATTATGTCCTCATACATACAAGCAGTTCAAGTAGGTTTTGAGTGGCTTTGGATGGGTCTCTATTTTTTCATTCTCCTCTCCTTTCCTTCCTGTTTCTGGTAACTCACTATCACATGCATTTATCCTTCTCTTTGTGGCATATTTTCTTTCCATTATTTTGTATTGTATCTGGTTTGTCATTGTCTTGTTCATATAAGAGGTGAAGTAGAAAGTATAAACTGCAGAAAATTGAACTGCACTCTTCACACCTGCATATGCATCAACGGGGAAGTCGTGGGTTTTAGTTGTTTGCTGGTAGCTCTGCTTCTCATAGTCTCTCAAGCATGTTTAGCTACTCCTTAAGGAATAAGCACCGCTTACTCCATGCTTCCCGTTTCCTCACGGTAACATGTAACCTTAATTGAATACATCCTGGTTATAATCAGTCTGTGATAAATCTCTTTTATGATAGGTTCTGACAATTTCCCTGCAAGTTGTGTTTACCTTGGTGACAACTTACAAAAATAAAGCGGTCTCTATAATTCACTTTTAATCTCAAGAACAAGTTAGTTTAAGGTTTTACACTTCTAGTCCTTATCTTACAAGGTTATATATTCCATGTGATACCTTTCTAAAAAGCCTGCTCTAAGTGTTTGTGCTCATCACCAAGCGTGGTCTGTGTCTCCTGCAATGTTCTGTCCCAACAGAGCTCTCCTCCATATGGTTTCTCTTTTTTCTGTCCTGGAGTGTGCTGCTAGCATGGGTGATGATCTAAGTGGTTATATTGTTCTCTCTATGACATGCTTTTGATTAAGCAAATTTTTAAAACTTCATTTCAAGAAACATGACATCTTTTCAGACAAAAGAGGCTTTAGAGCTCAATGGTTCTCTTTCAGAAAACGTAAGGATTTTGTCATCTGGACACAATTTTGCTCTTTCTTGCTTGGATAGGTATAATAGCCGTAAGTGCGTGGGAAATACTTGCATTGTGTTACTTAGCAGGTGGACCACACCCTGCTTTTTCTTCAAGTATTCTAGTTCTACAATTTTATGATTAACCCAGGACTGCAGGAAACGTTTCCTGTCTGAAGACATAATTGGTGTATTATTTTAGTCTTAAACACTTATTTCCTGCCAGACCTATTCATGTGACATTTTGCGGCCAAATCCAAAGACTTGTAAGTACGTTCACAGTAAGGCCCTTGGTAAATGATACCACATAAAGTAACCGACTCAGAGGAGACTGGTGGGATCCACACAGTTGAAGATTATCTTTCCATCTTCAACTTTTCTATTTTTTTTTTCAGGATCTCCCAAAAACTATTCTTCGAATGCTTTAGTCCAGTGTTGCAGACCTTTTAAGATCAATTCAAACCTTTGAAGTTCCAATAAATTGTGCTTTACAGTCTTTATTTGCAGTAGTGTGTGAGGGGGGGAAAAAAGCAACCAACAACCCTCTGTGTGTATATGCACAGTCACCTTTAAATACTGGCATGTACTAGATAGCATTTTGTCTTTCATGTCCTCTAACAGTAGTCTTAACACCATGTGGAAAAAATACTATTCTGATTTATCACAATCCTGGTTTTCCCAAGATTCTGCCCTAAAGCTAGGGAAGGAAGAACATCATTCATATTGCTACAGTTCTTCTAGGAGGGGAATTATTTTGAGAACATTTAATTACATAGGATAAGTAAAGATCTTTTGGCTAAATATGAAGAGTTTTCCATTCAGAGTAAAATAAAAGTCTGTTAGGTTAGAACTTCAAATCATGGTGTGTATGATATGGCAAATCCTTAAGCATCCTAATGCTTAACCTTTGTATAAGCCGTATACTAGTTATTTTGAAGGATATACATTGTCCCACCTTTTATAAACATATTTCTGAGCTAAGGGAACTGTTGCCACTGTCTACAAGAGTGTGTCTTGTTTCACTTTTGCTTTTAGTTGCTTTTCAGAAATTGAAAAGCAGCTAAATTTTCTTTAATCTCGTGGTAACTCCCCTGACCTTTTCTTCCTGCCAGTCTCCCTAATAACCAAAGTACATATAAGAATGCCTGAAATGACCAACTCTAAAAAGCCATTTGTTTTATTTATTAAAAGTAAAACTTGGTTTTGCCCAGTAAGAACAAAGCCTCTTTCAATAGCAGCTGACTTGTACAGATAATTTAGGAGTGGGGATAATTGCTGTGATAACTCATACTGGTATTTTAACGTGCTGTCTGTTGACCTTTTAGGAAGCGAACTCTCATATAGTAATGTAAAATCCTGACAAAGTGGAGATAGCTGCAATTTGAGACTAATTCCCTACAGGTATTTAGAAAATGTGTAAACATGGTGCTTAGGGACATGGTTCAGGGGTGGACTCGGCATCGTTAGGTTTACAGTTGGACTAGATCTTAAGGGTCTTTTCCAGCCTAAATGATTTTATGATTCTATGCAGTGTTTTCACTGAGGAATCAGAACTTCACCCCAGCTTTTCTAAAATTAAAACCATCATTCGTTATTAGATGTATTCTGTATAGAAATGAGTTACAGGTCTTTCTAAAAGCCTTGTATAGTACATGGTCTATGAAGACAGTGTGTGTGTATATACATACGCACCTTTATAGAGCTTTGAGATAAGTGGGCAGAAAATACTACGTAATTACAGCTTAAATAGCTGCTTTCTGACATGGCAGTGCAATTATATTTACAGAAAAAACAGACTTTATTCATTATATTGTAGCTGATTTGTGTTCCCTAATTTGCAGTTACAGCATGCAAGGCCAGGTTAAGCCTTTCTTGTTCTTTCTAACAGGAAACATATTTACTTCTTTTAAAAACACAGACTGAGCTTTTCCATAAAATCATTTGGTGATATTTGTGTTTGGCCTTCTCGCTCTGTACTGGCAAAAGCATTTGATTTCTTTGGCAGGAAGCTAGGCCAATTTGGGGCATGAAGGGGGAAGTAGCTCTTGCAACAGCCATCGTGTTTTTCTTCCATTACAGAATACGAGCTGTTCTTTTGATGCAGTTAAATTTTTAATTCTTTTCCAGCCTCTCTTTCAGGCTTTAAAGTGAAATTCACTTCAGTTACACAGTGGCAGCCGAAAGGGTACAGAATTCTAGGTGAATTCTTTGCTATAGATCATAGGTTATATCATACTATTTTTTAATTTTATTTCCTTTATTCTTTTACTGCAACACTTTCAACCATGTTGCTTTGTTAGGCTGAATTGATCACATGTTACCAATGGGGTATGGTTCAGTGTGGCTTGAAGTTCTTCACCGCAATGTGTGAAAGCAGCTTAACTTCAGAAGTTCATGGTGCATCTGGAAGGCTGTACCCAGTTCTCCCAGAAATTCTCTTGCTAGTCTTAAATGAGAAACTATCTGTGATCACTGCAATCACAGAAGATTTCAAGGCACTTTGTCAACAGTAGCCCTTTATCTTTTGACCAACGCTTCCCCGTCCTGTTTTGAACACTAGATTGTTGGGCTGTAGCAAGAACTACCTGCAGTTCAGGGGTACTTTGGATGGAAGGTAACATCCTTCAGTCCTAGACTTCTCTTCTTCTCTGGGCCCTTGCTTGCTGCAGTTGAACTTATGCTTGATACCGCTGCATTAGTATCACTGGGAAGTATCCTGTACTGGGCCCAGAGATCATAAAACACTTGATTTTTCTCAAAATAAAGCAGCTGTAGAAACATAGAAGATGCCTTAAATGAGAATTCATTCTATTTATTGTATCTTTGTGAATTGAATGAGTACTTCTTGTTGTTCCCGCTCATTGCAGGGGAGTTGGACTAGATGATCTTTTGAAGGTCCATTCCAATCCAAACTATTTTATGATTGATTCTCTAAGAGCACAGCTATCTCTGTTTACATTAATGATAATGCATTTGTTTTCCTTCTAGTCATTGGTTTTGTTTTGTTTTGTTCTTGTAGCTCAAAGCTTTCAGTAATACACATTTCCAAGGAGCATGTATAGATTTCACAGCAGAAGTTTCTGATTTTACATCATTCATACCATGTTCTTTTAAGGTTCTTCGGGGATGGTAAGTCTTGTTTTACATGCCATCATTTTAAGTAATAGGAATTTTTTTTAAACATTACTAAATTTCAGACAGCTGCAAGTGCATAACACATGCCCATCATATTCCATCATGTCTTAAACCCTTTGTCTTGCAATGCATCTCAGTAACTGTTGTCCTGTCATTGCTTTGGTGCGTTTTCCTTTCCCTGTGGGAAGTTTGCACATTTACTGTAATTCTTTTTTAACTTCAGTTAGAATTTATTCCAGATTTTGAAAACTTGGTACAGTAGAAGTGTCTGCATTCCATTTGCGTCGTTTGACTCTGGAACTGAGATTTCTGTACCACATGATCGGATTTGCCTGTTGTGGTTGCTTTGTCCCATAGCCTTTCAAGTCACCTTACTTTTAAGCTTAACAAGAACAAACACATTTTTTTATTCTTACTTCCTTAGCAAATATTAAATCTTGAAAGAAACTTAATAAGCAGCTGGGGCAGCTGATCTCTTCTGTTATATTATTCTTGCAGTTGGCTCCTGTATTACCAAGGGGAAACCACTGACAATCACTGTGTGCTGGAAGAAGGCCTCTATGTTGACCTCAGTTCCTGCGGCTGCCCAACTGCTACAATCAAATCCCTCAAGCCTATTCAATATGTAAGGACTTTATTGCAAAAAAAAAAATAACCTTTTGGAACTCTTTTCCTAGTCAGATGTGTGAAGCAAGTGCTTGTGTTAAACAAAACTCTCTCTCAGGGAATAGAGTGATGTTTGTTTTCTTGGCTTACAGGACTTTTTGGGTTAGGAGCAAGCCAGGCTGCATGCATGCGTGTACGTGGTCACTTGTAGGGACATACATTTGAGTGTTCTGGCCTCAGAGTTGCTCTCTTTTGTCCAAGTTGCATTGGTTGGCATTTTCCTGACTGGTCTTGTGGTCAGTTGACCCTAGCTGGATGCCACGTGTCCAGCCAGCTCCTCTCACTCCCCCTTCTCAGCTGGACAAGGGAGAGAAAATACAACAGAAGGCTCATGGACTGAGATAAAGACAGGGAGAGGTCACTCACTAGTTACCATCATGGGCGAAACAGACTCTACTTGGTGAAAAATTCATTTATTATGAATCAGATCAAACTAGGGTAAGGAGAAGTAAGATGAAATCTTAAAAACACCTCCTTCTCACCCCTCCCTTCTTCCCAGGCTTAACTTTATTCCCAATTTTCTCTTCCCATGGGGTCACAGCCTCCTTCAGGCATTCCCGTGCTCTGGCGTGGGGTTCTCCATGGGCTACAGGTGGATATCTGCTCCACCATTAACCTCCATGGTCTGGTCCACAGGCTGCAGCAGAATCTCTGCTCCAGTGCCTGGAGCACCTTCTCCCCTCCTTCTTATTGACCCTCCTGTCTGCAGAGCTGTTTTCACTCACGTATTCTAACTCCTCTCTCCAGCTGCAATTGCGCCTGCCCAGCAACTTTTTCTCCTCCTTCATTGTGTTATCCCAGAGACACTACCACCATCTCTGATGGGCTTGGCCTCAGCCAGTGGCCAGTCTGTCTTGGAGCCAGCTGGCACTGACTCACTCCATCGGACATAGGGGAAGCTTCTGGCAGCCTCTCACAGAAGCCACCCCTGCAGCTCCCCTGCTACCAAAACCTTGCCATGCAAACCCAGTACAGGTCTTTATAATGCAGTTCAGTAGTCTTGTATGCAGTGAGACTATATACCACACCATCTAAGCATATGGGCCTTCTTTTATTAGGCCTACAGCCAAGGTTTGGTCTTAAGGTACACATAGAAGACATGAAAATTGAAATTACAAGGTAGCATACACTTGCCATAATGCTGTTTTATTTACTAACTGTTTTACAGAAATATAAAAAAGGTGTTGCCTCTTAATGGCATCTCAACATGGGTCAGTGAAGTGGTATAACATACCACTCATGTCACCTCTGAGCTGTGTGACACATCAGATAGTCCAGTCCAAAGCTCATGTGGCCATCCTCTCTCTTGGTGATTTCTCAGATACAGAACCAGTACTTACTACACATGCATATAGTCTTCATGTGACTTTCGGGTCAGGTTGGTTGTGCACAACTCGCAGTAAGGTGAAACATGAGGTCCTCTGTAGGCAGATGACCTCATAGGAGGTCCCATCCCACAGGAGATGGGACAGGAGTGCATTGTACTATCCAGTACAAGATAGATAGAGCCTTTTATGCATCCTGTTGTAATCCTGCACTCAGGACATGCCTCTGGAGTCTTGCTGTGATGTGCCTTTGGCCCATATCTTGGTATGCTCCTGTGCAAGAGCATCAAAGATAAGCTGGCCATAATGTTCTTGGTAAAAGATAAGCAAGTGGCTGCTCTTCCCACTCCTCTTTAGCACTAACCAACTTCTCCAAACCTCTTCCTCCTTCCCTGGTCTCAGAACACAAACACAGTCTATGCAAAGTGTGGCCTTTAATGTAACTCTTATGAAACTAGACTTTAAAAAGTTCTCAGTTTTCTTCAAGTGTTAATTCATTCTTTTCCATTTGTGAACAGATTTTAAAACCAAAACCAACCCACACACACAAAAACCCAACAAAACAAACACTGCAACCAAACAACAACAGCAAAACTACAAGCCCCACAAAAAACTCAAACACTAAAAGCCATGGGCTTTGAGAGCTGCTCTTTTCTCTAGGTTACATAGATACAGTGACTTCAGTGGAGCTATAGCTTTCCACGTGCTGGGAGCCTGGTTTTCAGGTTAAAGATCTCCTTTCCACATTAGGCTTTGAGGCTCTGTGAAGTCAGAGGGAATTTCTGATGTGAAATGGTGTCTCATTCAAATCCCCCAGCCTGTAACCTCACAGGGAAGTTACTATGCAGTTTGGTGTAGTAAGAAGCTACTGGCAGCTCTCGATTACCAAGGGCCTAGCCCTGAAGTGTGTTTGCAGGCTACGTCTGGGAAGCTTACACACATCTTCCTGTACTTCATGAGTGGCTTGCACCTCACAGTTCAGTTCTCTCTTGCAAATAGGAGCCCTTGTATTTCACAAAACCAAGGTGCTAAACAGTATAAAATGCTATTGAACCACACCTGTGTCACAAATAGAAATGCCCTCATCAGCTCTTAACACATTGTGTGTGCTGATCGCCTGGGACAGTGCTCAGAGGCGTTGTGTAGTACAGACGTGATGTTAAGCACGCAGCCCTAGGTTTGGTCAGTGGTCAGAAACAGCCATAGTTAATTCTGTGCATTGTCCACAGTGCACTGTTCTTGGAACAGAGCCCTTTTTATTACAAGATATTTTTGTTAGCACATTCAAGAGAACAGCAGACGTATTCCCAAGTGGAATTGTTGTATAGCTTTATTGAATTCAGTTGTGTCATCGGGTTCATTATTCAGCTTTAAATACCAGCCCAAGTTCAGACCTAAGGTGTGTATCTCAATAGCTTATGTGTGAGAGGAAGAATGTTTAACCCTGACACCAAGCCCTGAATGTGCATTGTCTCCTGCTTTCCTTTAAATGAGATGTATTTACTGTAAGTGTGACTGCTGGAAGGACTCTCATGCTGGGGGGGAGCCATGTGTTGCTTCAGTGTGTGAGGTTTCTGCATAACAGATGCTGACTAGAAGTAGAGGCCCATGTTTGGCACTGGCAGAAGGGAAACAAAATATGCTTTTAGGAGTACAAAGGACTCATAAGGCTTACTCATTACCAGCCTTTGAAGACAGTCCAAGTCTGTTGACTGGTGTAGGTGTGGTCCAGCTGTATCTGTTAGAAGTAGATTGTTTCAGCCAGTCCTTTGGGATAGGCAAACAAATCTGTTGGAGGAAATGGGGATGTGGGATCTGGATATTCCCTTCCTAATTTGCAAGTTTGTGGTGATAACTAACTATGTCTTAACTTGATACTGTACAGCTGAGTGAAGTGCCAACCCTGGTCCTCCTCAGGATACCTGTAAGAATATAGATGATTTGTGTGGGACTAACTCCAGGGTAGCTGTGAAACGTAGCAGTCAGCACAGGCCACTGACACATGTGGGGTGTGCAGCTTGGCTGGGCATCCGCACAGATTTCTGCATCCTACTCTGAATCAAGATGTCCTTTCTGTTCCAGGAACTAAAAGGAACATCCAGCTTTTTATTTTTTGCTATTGCCATACCTTCAGTGTAACTTTCTGAGTTTTCACTTCAAATCTGTAACAGCTTTGAGGGGCTTTTTGGATGTTGTCAGCTGCCGCAAGATTTCTGGACTCTCCAGTTTGGAATGAGAATTTGGGCATTAAAAGTACATATTCGTAGTACTCCATGGCATGGGTGTGCTTCTGTGAGCCAGTGAAGCAACACTGTAAGGTGGCAATGGGGTTTTTGTGACTGAGTTAAGAGTAATGGCTTAATGTCTATGAAACAGCTAACAACTTCTGTGAAGCCTTGACTTGCCTTGAAAACAGATCAACCAACTGAAGATAAGGAAAGGATTTGAGGGAATAGTTTGTTCTCTGGAAGGTGCAGCTTTGATGCAAGTGAAATATTTACAAACAAATATTACTTTAGTAAAGTAAACTTGAGGTTTTAGTTTAAAAATTGCCAGAAATGTAATTTACTTAAGAGCTTAATTACATCGCAAAATGGAAAATCTCTTTCTAAATGACTGAGTTGGCCCAAATAAATAGGAAAAAAAAACCAAACCAAAACTTCGGGCAGTGCAAAATGAATTTGGATAAGAAACATGCTCATATGAGCGATGGCCTGATTTCTTCACTGTGATGATAGTGTTTTAGGTTGGCTAGCTTTTGTTGTAACCTTTAGCTCTTGGAGGGATGCTTTCTGGGTTCTTTGCGGAAAAGTGAAGTTGTCATCATTTAAGCATGGCACACACATTCCCCCATTGCTCAAGAAATTCAAATTAACATGGTTTCACTTTGGTTATTTCTCCATTTATTACGCACTGGAGTCATAGAGGAATTAAGCACATCTTTGTAACTGATTTCCTCTACTGTTTGTTCAGGAAGAAGCAAAGCAGAAGTTGGGCAGGTTTGTAAGCAGAGTGGGGAAGGTGCTCCCTTATTCCTAGGAACCTCTTTCCTATCTTGGCTTATTCTCTGAGGTGTATAATACTTGAACTAAATCTTTAGGAGGCCTTACCTGTATATTTTTCCCGTGCTGGTCCATTTCGTTCAGAAATAGACTGGTTTGTCCTTCTGGGAGTGTTCAGGAAAAGCTATGGGTTAGTAAGAAGAAACAAAGCATATTTGTACCTTGATAATGAGAAAATCATGTCCTTTGGTTTTGGTATTCTGCAAGGGAAAATAGTGTTGTGATATCCATGTATTAATTGAATTGAGTAGCATTGTGTTACATGGCCCCTTCCCTTCTGAAAAGTGGAATGCTTCTGAAAAAACAGTGAGTCTTTTTCATATACTATTTCGAAAGTGAGAAAATAAGGTAAGTGCCTGTCACAGGAATGTCTGTCTTTAGGTGAACAGGTACTGACACACTTTGGAAGTCCACTTAACATTAAAAGGGTGCACATGTATTTAGTAGTGGTAGGAGGAGCACCAGAACGAATGTAAGTTGCCTCTCATTGTCTCCTTTCACCACAGAATCCCAAAGTACTCTTTAAGAAAAGCTTGTTGATGACATTTGCTGTTGTTGTTGTAATAACAGGC